GAATAGGTAAAATGCATGGAAATTCTAACATGGTCATAGGGTATGTGTTGGCTGTTAAGAGTGTAGCCATGCCTTTTTATACAGGTAGGGGTGGTTTGATCTGTCTCCAGGGCCACTTTGCTTCTTGATGAATTTCCTAGAGCTCTCTATGTAAACCAGGCTGACATCCAACTTTTAGTAATCCTCTTTTCTCTGTGATTACAAACATGAGTGTCACAATAGACTTTAGTGTGGGTAGGACACAGGAATCCTGAACTCACCGTAGACGAGGTCAGAATTTGAAATCAAACTTAGGTCTGTGAGGGAAAAAAAGTCCTCTCTGTTAGGGAGCATGGTGCCTTCGAGTCCTCAAATAGGAAGATAGTGACAAGCTACATTGGGAAGCAGAATATACGCAGGGGGAGACTTCTGCAATGGGTGAGAGGGCGAGGGTGAGGTCAGGGCTTCTGGTTGGCAAGGCTCTGCATTAGCTGTGAGCGTTGGTCCACCTCCCAATCTCTCTGGCTTCTGTTTGTCTGTGAAGCGAGAGACTTGGTTAAACCAATGGTCTCCAGACTTTCTTCTCTGGTGAGTGGGAAACGGGCTCGGCTTTTGGTTGGCAGTCAGGAGACCTGGCCAGTTTTCTAAGGAGGACCCTTGAGCATTTTCAGGCACCGCTGTGCTGCGGCCCAGGGAATGCCAGCTATCATGAAGCAATTGTAGGTGGAAGAGCCCCAGTGGGGTGGTGACTTGCAGAAGCTCCAACTTTGGCATTAATCCTTAATTTTCTTTCCTGTTAAATGAGAGCGATGATGGCTTCCTTCCCGGCCTCCCACACTGGTGATAGGACCCATAGTTAGGCAGCAAGGAAGGTTTCTTTGGATGCCAGCGTCTGCACTCTGATGCTTCAGTAAACCTTATGGTCCCCAGGAGGACCAGAGAGAAGGGAAGGATGTTCTGAGCTGCCGCACGTGTGACTGACTAATGCTGCCACCACCTGCTCCACTCCTGTTACATTCTGTTCTCAACTGAGGTTCTCACTACTATGTTCTACAACTGATAGGATGAGCTGTGTTTCTCCTTGGACTGTCACTGCCAGCCATTAGTGTTGGTCCTCTACACAATTTGGTACAGATGCCACCGCTCCAAGCAGCAGTTGGCATTTGTCTGCACCCTCCTGTGGGCACTCTCGTGCTTGGTGACCACCATGGAGTACGTCATGTGCATCGACAGTGGGGAAGAGAGTCGGTCTCGAAGTGACTCCTGGGCGATCATCCTCTTCATAGGCATCCTCAGCTTCCTGGTCTTCACGCCGCTCATAATGGTCTCCAGCACCATCTTGGTGGTGAAGATACGGAAGAACACGTGGGCCTCCCACTCGTCGAAGCTGTACATTGTCATCATGGTCACCATCATCGTTTTCCTCATCTTCGCGGTGCCCATGCGGGTCATCTACCTGCTTTACTACGAGTACTGGTCAGCCTTTGGGAACCTGCATAACATCTTCCTGCTGTTCGCCACTGTCAACAGCAGCGCCAACCTTTCATCTGCTTTTTTGTGGGCAGCAGCAAGAAGAAGCACTTCAGGGAGTCCTTGAAAGTGGTACTGACCAGAGCTTTCAAAGATGAAATGCAGCCCAAACGCCAGGAGGACAATGGCAATACCATCTCCATTGAGACGGAGGTCTGTAGACCACAGCAGGGAATTGTGGACAGATACAATGGAATGAGGGTGGCTTTCAATTTGCACTTGGAGTGCAATCAAAGCACATTTAAATCTCCAAAAATGATACAGAAGGGAAGCATTCCACATGCATGAAAGTGTAATTGATAATGAGCTTGTGTTCTTATCTAGTGTCTTCTGGAAATGCCTCCATCAGTGACTTTGCTCTGTCTTTCCCATCCTTGTCAAAGACTCACTCTTCTCTCAGCCCTTAGTGATCAACCATTAACTATAAAAACTGCTCTAACAGGAAGTATCCCAGATGGGACCTGGAGAACCTAGGGAAGCCATGCAGTAACTGCTGTTTGCTCCATGTGACTTCAAGCAAGTGGCTTTGGGGAGCCTCATTTCCCCCCTTAGCAGAAGTGGTGACAGTTTGTACTGTGCAGGTTATTGTGGAGTAAAGCAAGGTAGGCAAAGCACCTCCCATTGTTAAAGTTCAATAAACGTCCATCTCTCTTCATCCTTTAACCAGAAAAAAGAGTGTGGCCATGCACAAGCTGGGATAGAAGGAAGCATTTTCTGGGGTGTGATGTCAGGAATTATGCAGGAAAGGGCAATATTTAATGGGGAGCAAGTGTTACAAAGTGAATCTGAAAGTTTTGACTCATGCTTGGTTCAACTTTGGGCTACAGAGTTAAAAGTCAATTCTGTATTCTAGGACTTCAAATAGCCCATTCCAATTAGGATGTGTGCTTGTGGAACATTGGGCTTGACTTAGGTGGAATAATCCATTCTTTGACTTAAGTTTCAGAATAGTCTCAAGTTATGCATGGGGATACACGAAACATCTCACATTTATTTCTGCCTAGGGACTAAAAGGATCTTGTAGGATCAAGTTCATTCCAACAGCATTGGCTGGGGCAATAGCCATGGGTGTTCAAGGGGAAATGTGTTGCCTGGAGACAAATGCATAGCCCCCATTCTTTCTATTCCTCCTGTTTTCCTCTGCAACCCAGGGAGACAATGGCAATTACAAGACAAAAATGTGAGGAATTTTGCTAAACCCCAGAATACATTGCCCTTCAGGTTTGTCTGTTTTTCTTTCTTTCTTTCTCAAAAATATTTTTGTCTTGCGTTTTTTCCCCTCTAAATAGTTCTGTGTGGATTAGGCTGTTCTAGGGGAAAGGTGATGAGTTAGACACTGGTGTATGTGATACCTTGACTGATGGGTAAGGTTGACAAAGGGACAAAGAGAGGAAGTATGTTAGTAACCCCAACACATAGAGAAGAAGCACAGAAAGGCTGTGTGACAAAAACCTGGAAGCCATCTATAGCAGGAAGAACAATGTATCTTTGAGTAAGAACCTGCCTGGGCCACAGATGGCATGTGTACATGAATGCTTGTGAGTCAAGTGCAGATAGTGGGCAGTGGCCCGTGGTACACAAGAAAGGATGTTCCTATCACAAATACAGCCCTGTCTGGCATAACTGACAATCCGTGGGTTCAGACTCAGCAATACTGTGAACCTTAGGAAGGATAAGAAATTCCAGCTAACTACTTCTGCACCTGTAGACTCCAAAAGTAGAGGTTTTGGGAAAAAGCTGCTTTAGTATTTCGCTATTAAAAAATGATATCTTCTCCTCCTCTTTCCCTTTCTCTTCCTTCTCCTTCTCTCATTAAGTTTTTTTTGTTATACTGTTAGTACTTGATTTATTTATTTTCTTAAAAATACAGTATTTCATGTGTGTGTGAGTAGATTTCCATACTGAAGAGCCCAGACCTTCACCCAGCCTCCTTGCTTTGGCAGCATGACAGTCTGAAGAAAAGACCCAGCAAGACCAAGGCTCCTGACTCAGCAACATGTGCTGAACCCCAGACCTTGCCTTAATCACTAGGAAGTGAAGGGACCAGCCCCCCATTTCGGCAGCCATGACATAACACTTGCTATGACCTTGCCTTAGTCACTAGAGGTTAGGTGCCTGCCTCATGACAAGGAACCAATCAGAAGTTAGCTGGTGGTGCTATGCTTTAAGACTCTGGGTGTACTTTATGGACAAGCGCACCCCAATGTCTCACAGAACATAGCAACCACCCTGGGAGGGCCTATGGGCCATAACAACCAATTGGCCAATCAACACAGGGCAAGCCCTCCAAGCCTGGAGGCACACCAATCCTGAGCCTGTGCGTACCCCTAGACACTCCCCTTATGCTGCCCTACAAGATCGCTCGGCAGCTGGTTTAAGGTGTCTTTTCTAGCCATCCGCCATGGCGGGTGGGTAAAAGACCTGAGCTAACATGGGGTTAGCTCGTTAAAAAACAATAAAGCCTCATGCAGTTTGCATCAAGCTCTCGAATCTGCCTGGTGATTGGGGTGACCGAGGTCATGGCCTCGGACCTCAGATACCTGAGTTTTTCCGGGGGTCTAACAGAAGCCAGATACCCTCCATGTGGAAAGGAACCAATCAGATGTTATCTGGCTGGCTCTGGATGTGCTGCATTGCATAGCAAACCACCCTGGGAGGGTCTCTAGGTGTAGCAACCTTGCTGCAGCTGCAGCTGACCAATCAACACAGGACAGGTTGCCTAAGCCTGGAGGTGCACCAATCCTGAGACTGTTGCTATGCAAGTAGGGGACCCTCAGACACTCCCCTTGTTCTACCCCAATATATTCACAATATATTCATCTCCCTATGTAAAAGGATCTGGTCTCTGGTAGTTTTGGGGGTTCCAGATTCTGGGCACAATAGGCACAACACATACCACTGCCCATGTGTGGAGTCAGTTCTGTCCTTTTATCTTAATGTGGGTTCCAGTTTACACTGGTCGTCAAGTCCATAGCAAGCATTTTAACTGCTGAGCCCTCTCACCAGCCCATTATTATTTATATTTTTCAAAGACACTTTTATGATTTGTATATCTAGTTTTATTTGTGTGCTTTTATTTTTAAAAATTTATTATGTACATGAGTATTTTTCTTGCATATAAGTGCATCATGTGTATTCACAGGACTGGTGCCTGTGGAGGTCAGAAGAAGTGGTCAGATCCTCTGGGACTGGAGTTACAGATGGTTTTGAACCATCATGTGGGTTCTGGGATTGGATTCTGGGTCCTCTGAAAGAGTGCTCTTAACTGCTGAGCCAACTCCCAGCTCTTTATTCTTTATTATTGTATAATAGTATTTCAAATATGCCTTGCTTTTTCTCTTTCTCTTCCTACCATTCTTTCCCTTTAACTTTTATTTAACCTCACTGACTTATCTTTCATCTCCCTTTCTTTCAATCATTTTTCTTTTATCTAATTAATTAAAAAATTGTCTGGGGGGTGGGTTTGTGTGAGTATGCATATTCGTGTAAGCATGCGTATGTGTGATGCGCCTAGGGTGCACTTGTTTGTGGAGGTCAGAGGACAACTTTGTAGCTTCAGTTCTCTCCTTCCAACTTTATGTGGATTCTAGGGGGTCAAACTCTGGCTTTCGTAGTAAATGTCTTTACTGGGGAAGACATTTTGCTAACCTTAACCAAATTACTACCTAAGCTTATAGCTTACTCTTCATTATTTTTCACTTGCTTATCTATGGTCATTGTTGACTATAACTATTTTAAGAATATTTATGTATCTGCTTTGATTTAGTCTTGCTATTATTACAGTGGCCTGTTATTTTATTCTCTTGAGTGGTTTTGGAATTGAGCCCTCAAGAACAGACTGCTTTCTAAACCCAATAATAAACTGGAAAGTATATCTATAGTGACAGAAGGACAAATCACAAAATAGAAACACAAATACGCAAAGGTGGGTAGCATGTCTGCCAAAGATTGAATGTTAATAACTGAGTCCAGCAATATTGAAATGGTTGAGATTCCAAACAAAGACTTCATCTGATCAGGGCTTTGCAGGAGGATACAAACAAGCAGGTGAATGAGACAAGGAAGGCAGTTCAGAGCCATGGATGAGAAATTAAAAAAGAAAATTGAAATTCTCAAAACAAAACAAAACAAAACAAAAAAACAAACAGCCCAGTGTAGTGGGCTGTTTGTAGATTAAACATGTAGATTAAACATGACTCACATGTTTAATCCCAGCACTCAGGAGACAGAGGCAGGTGAATTTCTATGAGTTCAAGGCCAGCCTGGTCTACAAAGTGAGTTCCAGGACAGCTAGGACTGTTATGCAGAGAAACCCTGTCTTGAAACTTTCCCTCCCCCCCAAAAAAAACCCAAAAATAAATTAATAAACAATTGTTCGAAATGAAAACCCCAATATGTAAAGACTGTGAAAAGCATTACCAGTGAACTAGGTTAAGCAGAAGAAAGAATAATTGAAGATGAAGTTGAGGAAATACTGTATTCAGATATAAATAGAGCTGAGATACAATATAAAGGCATATGTAACCTAGTCAATGAAATTACAGGAGAATATTCTAAGAAATCCACATCTAAGCTAAAAAGACATTGAGAACACAGAATAGCTATGTCTAGCAAAGAACCTGTCATCATAGTTACAATGCCAAAACCACACAACAACAAAAATAGTAAAGGCTGCAAGATGGAAACACTAACTCAAAAGATGCAAACTGATCAGAGCAACAGTAGACTCTTTATTAGATCTCCTGAAAGCCAGGAAAATATGGAATGATAATTGTTAAGCCTAGAAACTAAATAACTGCCAACCAAGATTACCCAGATTCAACAAAGTTATTGTTTAAAAATAAATAAAATGAGCATAATGAGCATAAGCTACAGCAGTTCTTGACCACTAAACCCACCTGCAGAAGATTCTTAAAGGAAGATGACAATCGGAGAGAGAAGCACAGTCAGGAACTTGAGAGCTCAGCAAAAGATATGTGTTGTGAGACGAATAAATGAATAGAGGTGAACTGGGAAACAACCAGTCATGCCCATCACAGTAAACCAGAAAACCATAAATATTAATAGGAGAGAAAGAAAAATCAAGTGATAATCAAACCAGTGAAGAAAATAGTGAAAAAATGTATAGAAGTTAGAAAATCTTTCTAAAAAAATAAATATAGATTGTTTTTAGCTTTTCTACTAAAAGATAGAGACTAATGGATTGGATCAAAGACAAGACATGACTATTTGTTCTTTTTAAGAAACATCTCATGGGAAAAGGCAAGGCTGAAAAATGAAAGGAGGGAAAAATATACACCTAACAAATGAAACCTGGAAAACAACTAGGACTAGCTAAAGTATACTTTAGGATTAATTAGAAGATGTGAATAGGCTCATCACCTGTGAGTAAAAAGAAAAAAATCACTTAAGAAGATGCAATTTTTTTGGTCAGTCATGGTGGTGAATACCTTTAATCCCTGACAGAGGCAGGCAAATTTCTCTGAGTTTGAGGGTAGTCTTTTCTACCTAGTGAGTTCTAGGCCAAGATGGGGCTACACAGTGAGGTTCTGCCTCAGAAATGATTGCAAACATATATGCCTTGAATATTGGTACACATAATTTTATAAAAACAAACATTATTGGGCATAAAAGGATAGAGAGACCCAGACAAAATAACAGTGGGTGACATCAACACCCCACTGTTACAGATCATCTAGATTAAAAAAAGAGAAATCAGAGAAATTTCAGAGTTAAGCTTCCCCATAGATCAAATGGAACTTACAAGTATCTACATAGTATCTCATCCAACATATGTAAATTATACATTCTTTCTAGCAGTTGATGAAACTTTCCCTTAAATCAAGTCATGTTACAATAAAGTTTTAACAAATAGAAAAATAATCTCAAAGGAATTTTTGCCATCAGATCATACTATAACAAAAAACCTGAAAATCAATAGTAAAAAAAAAGCTATAGAAACATGAAATTAAATAATAGATTCTTCAATAGTCACTGGGTTATTGAAGAAATAAGAGAGGAAATTGAAAAAAATCTTCAGAATCAAAGAAGATTGGAAACAAAACATAACAGAATTTTCAGGATACAGCACTGGTAGTTCTAAGATGGAGTGTCCTAGCTAATCTGCAAGATGAAAAAGAGCAATGCTACAGTTTCATGGTTCTGCTCCTGAGAACTGGTATTGCTGCTGGGAAGGACAGTTTTGATCCAGGCCTTCTGAGTCATAAACATGGAATGACACAGAACAATAGCTGAGTACATATGTAAGCATAAGTCTTTCCGCCAAGCTGCCTGAGCCCCACTGCCATGTGGGTGCCCAAATAAACACACAGAGAATTATATTAGGTACAGTGCTGCTGGCCAATGTCTAGGATTTCTTACTTTCTAGCTCAGTCTTAATTATCAACCATAACTACTAATCTATATATTTATAAAGACTTATCTTATGGAGGATGCCTGTGGGAATGTGTCCTGTCTTCCTGGGATCACATGGCAGCTCCATAGAGAGGAGGAGGAAGAGAGCGATTTCCTGCTTGTCCTTGCTTATATTCTGAGTCTGCCTGCTATGTCACTTTCTGCCTGGATCACAAAACTTCTATTTACTACATTTCCCATAATCCTCCTCAACTCCTAGTCCCACCTAACTTTCATCCTTATTGGCCAACAGTGCTTTATTCAACAACCAATAAGATAAATATACACAGAAGGACTTTCCCCATCATCTCTACTTTTTTTCTGTCTAAATAAAAAGAAGGGTTTTACCATTAACATAGTAAAATATATAACAAAACAGTTATCAGGGAAGGACTATAGTTACAATATTTGGTCCATTAATATTTAGCAAGATTTTAAAGAAAATATTCTATGATGAGTCCTCTGAGACATGCATGTCTGTCACCTGTCAATTCAAGGAATTCAGCTGTTGGGGCCATGCAAGCCGCTATATTCATAACTCCTGGTGTTGTGACAGGCAGACAGACTGTGAGAATGGCTCAGATGAACAAGGCTGTGCCCCCAAGACATGCTTCCAGTTTGAGTTTCGTTGCCAGAATGGCAAGCGCATCTCTCAGAAGTTTGTGTGTGACCAGGACCAAGATTGCCTGGATGGCTCTGACGAGGTCCACTGCCAGGCCGCCACTTGTGGGCCCACTCATTTCCATTGCAACTCCTCTGCCTGTATCCCCAGCTTGTGGGCTTGTGACAGGGATGATGACTGCGAGGATGGCTCCGATGAGTGGCCACAGAACTGTGGGGGCCGCGACACTGCCTCTGCCTGGAGTAGCAGCCCCTGTCCCTCTCTGGAGTTTCACTGTGGTAGCAGTGAATGCATTCATCGCAGCTGGGTCTGCTCGGATGAGCCCATTAAGGACTGCAGGACCAAGGAGTGCTTGAACAACAATGGTGGCTGTTCTCACATCTACAAGGACCTCAAGATTGGCAACGAGTGCTTGTGTCCCAATGGCTTCCAGCTGGTGGATCAGCACAGGTGTGAAGACACTGATGAATGTCAGGAGCCGGACACCTGCAACCAGCTCTGTGTGAACCTTGAAGGCAGCTACAAGTGCGAGTGCCGGGCCGGATTCCACATGAACCCTCACACCAGGGTCTGCAAGGCTGTGGGCTCCATAGCCTATCTGCTCTTCACTAATCGCCACGAGGTATGGAAGATGACCCTGGATATCAGCGAGTACACCTGCCTGATACCCAACCTGAAGAACTTGGTGGCCCTGGACACTGAAATGGCCAACAATAGAATCTACTGGTCTGACCTATCCCAGGGAAAGATCTATAGCGCCCTGATGGACCAAGCACCTAGCTTGTCTTACGACACCATCATCATGGTCTGGCTGTAGACTGGATCCATGGCAACATCTATTGGACAGATTCAGTTCCAGGCAGTGTTTCTATGGCTGACACCAAAGATGTAAGGAGAAGGACACTGTTCCAAGAGAAAGGGTCCAGACCCAGAGACATTGTGGTGGGCCCTGTGCATGGCTTCATGTACTTGACAGATTGGGAGACATCTGCCAAGATCAATAAAGGAGGGCTGAATGATGTAGACATTTACTTGCTGGTGACTGAGGACATCCAGTGGCCAAATGGCATCACAGTAGATATTCCCAGTGGCTGCCTCTATTGGGTTGATTCCAAACTCCACTCTATCTCCAGCATTGATGTCAATGGGGGCAATAGGAAGACCATTTTGGAAGATGAGAAGCAGCTGGCCCACCCCTTCTCCTTGGCCATGTATGAGGACAAAGTATTTTGGACAGATGTCATAAAGGAAGCCATTTTCAGTGCCAATTGCCTCACAGGTTCAGATGTTAATTTGGTGGCTGAAGACCTCTTGTCCCCAGAGGACATTGTCCTGTTCCACAACATCACATAGCCTAGATGGGTAAACTGGTATGAGAGAATAGCCCTCCCCATACATACATAAAAACAACAACAAAACTGAACTTAATGAAGGATGCACCCCAACTGAAACATGAGCTTTAGACCACATCACATGACCATGTATTGTATAATTTCATTTTCTCCTCTGGACCACATTGTTTGTAACAAGGCCTAGAAATTTTCACTTTAATACCTGTACATTTTTAACATTGTGGAGACAAATTATGTTACTTACTCATTTCCATAGCGAGGACTGTTATATTATGCCAAGAAAACTCTTCTCTGTCTAGTGGTCTTGCCGTCATTAGAGCTCCTGTTGTAATGTCAACATAGAAAAATCTTCCAGGGTCGCTGCTTCTGTCTATGGAGTATCTGCAAAGATATGGATTATGTAATTATTTTCACTTCAATAAACATGAGAACATAGTACTTGAAGGAAGGGAGTATACACACAGTGTTAAAGGTAACTCAGTCACCCCTGAGTTGTGAATATATGGAATACCATGGCTTTTATCATTCTTAAGAGAAACAAAAGAACTTTTTTTTTTACTACTTAAAGTATCTTACTTAAAAAATGAAATAAAGAGAGTGCTCATGACCTTATGGCAGTTTCAATGTACATGGAAATCAATTTATGCTATTTAAAGATTGAAACTGATCCAAGAGTGTTGGGGTGCCCTTAATATCAGCCTCTTTTTATAATTGTTTGAAATTCAGCTAAGTTCTTAAATGATTACCTGAAACTTGAAAAAGCAAAGCTACAGTTATGTGGTTCTGCTCTTTGGTACGGGTATCACTGTTGGGAAGGGCAGCTTTGCTCCAGACCTTTCCACTCATAAACATGAATGACTCTACTCCTGACTGACACAGAATCTATTAGCTGAAGGTTCCTTATATAGGATGCTTTTAGCAGGACAGACCAGGTCTGTTTAGGTTGCCAGTTGTAAATAAAACTGAGTTTTGTTCATTTATGGGGGATGACCTTCTGGAAACTGTCATATAACCTTCAAAATCTGAAGGGCATCACAAGCAGTTGTTTTGTAAAACAAAGGCCAGTTTTTCATTCAGACCACAAGCCTTACTTGTTGTTTCTACCATGTGTGTTCAGTTTAGACCAATGTCATTTTGTGTAGGAAAAGAAGGGTAGATACAGGCATTTACACCAGATAGTTTTAGACCTCTCCAAGAGGAAGACTTATATGACTCATTTTGCTGTTGCTTTATCTTTTGAGTCTTTAGTAAATTTGGCTGTAAGATCTGTAATTGTTGTTCAGTCTGATTTGGCAAACTCGTTCCCTCTATTCACTGTTCTCCATCTTGGGAGATGGAGATAAGCTCATGCATCAGGAAATTTAAACTAAGACATTTTGATAATCAGCTGGGATTGAGGACGATCATTGAGAATTTCATGTACTCATTCTTATTTTTACTAAGAAATTTTGTATTTTAAGATATAGTATATTATTTATTTCTGTATATATCTTTGTGGAATTAAAAAATCAGACTAGTTAATATCCACATAATTTCACATATTACTTTTTGTGGCAGGCACATTTAGAATCCATTTTCCTACAATTTTGAAATATACAATACATAATTAGCTAGTTACCATCTGTATATTGATCACCAGATCTTCCTGTCTAACTAGAACATTGTTTCCCTTGGCCAAGACATTCCCTTTCTTTGTCCATCAACATTGCTGGCCTTAGCTTTGATAACCACCATTTTCTTTCTTTTATCAATAAAAAACATTTTGATTCCACATTTAAGTAAGATTATGTGGTATTTGTCTTTCTGTGCCTGGCTTATTTCACATAGTATCATGTTCTTTAGATTCATTGGTGTTACTACAAATGACAGAATTTCCTTCTTTTTAAAGGCTGAGTGGTATTCTTTTGTGTATGTATAAAATGCCAGATTAAAAAATCCATTCATCTGTTGATGAGCACTTAGGTTGTTTCACATCTTGGCTTTGTGAATAATGTGGCAGTTAACATGGAAATGAAGATGCTTCTTCTACATACCAATTGTAATTCCTTTGGATATATGCCCAGAAATGGGATGGCTGGATCATATGATAGTTCTAGTATTTTGAGTAATCAGTACACTGTTTTGTAAAATGGCTGTGCTAACTTATATACTCACCTACAAGGTACCAAGTTTTCCTTTTCTGAACACTATATTATTTTTCATTTTTGGGGAATAGTCATTTTAATAGGTGAGGTGCCATCTCATTGTGGTTTTAACTATTTCACTGAAGGTTAGTGATGTTGAACATTTCTCCCCCACTCCCCATCCATTTGCAAGGATCTTGTGTATCTTCTTTTAAAACATTGTTTGTTTAGGTACTCTGACATATAAGATTATTTGTTATGGCATAAAATTACAATACAAAGCAAAAGTTTCATAGAAATAGAAACATTGATCAGTGAAATAGGAGTGAAAGCCTAGAAATACATGGGGGCAAAAAGGTCTTTGTGACTACAGGGAACACAGGAATATTAACACCCAGGATTTTTCTTTCAAAGGGAAGGATATATAATCTGTTTTTCCAGAAAAACTTGGGATTGGGAAGTGATTAATAGCCTGGTGATATGCATTATCTATTTGACCAGGTCATATCAAGCTCCTATAACCATGAACAGGGGCAGCTAATAATCTAGTGACCCCTTACATCCAGGGCCTTCCCAGGGTCCCACAACTAGAACCAGAAGTGGCTAATTGTCCAAATGACTTCTACAATGTCTATATGACCAACAGTAGGGCAGAACCTTTCTTAGGACCTTAAGCTAGTACAGGTAGCCTATGTCTAGTACCCATCTTTTTGGAAGAAATGACAAGTACCATGAGTCAAGTTTTGATGTAATTATGCTTCCTTGTGCACTGGGGATTGTGCTACAACAAGAAGCTTTTTTTTTCTTTAATTTTATATTGTGTTTTAAATATGGGGCATCAGACTCTCCAAAGTTTTTATCCAGGTTGAGAAGTCAATCTGCACTGAGTTTTCAGCTTCATCTCTTTAAGGTTTGTTTCCTTGCCTGGACACCTTCACATATATCTATGATCACTTCACTGGGTTTTTGCTAAAGATAACAAGAATATATAATGATGTAAGGAACTGTTCTTGATGACTGGTATTTGGAAAACTGGCTGTCTACATACAGATGAGCCTTACCTGGCCCATTTTCACAATAATCAGCTCAAATGAAGTAGAGACTTAAGATCAGAAATGAAATCTACTAGAAGAAAATTTTACATTTGTATGGGCTGTGATGTCTTGGATATAACCCCAAAGGAACAGAAACAGAAAGAGCAAAAACAAACAAATGGAACTGCATCAAACTGAAGATTTTGCATAGCAAAGGAAACAATCACAATATGAAAGAGAACCCCAAAGATTGGGAAAAAGAAAAAGGAGCTAGTGTTCAAAATAAAGAAGTAGCTTGTTATTTAAAGACCAACTCATTGTAATAGCTGGTGTGTGTTTAACGGCAGTCACTTTGCTGTGTATTCAACACACCGCTTCTATTAACATTCTCATGTCTTTGGAAATGTATACTATTTATCAGGTAAATTTAGGGAAATTAAGTCACTTTCAACTAAGATTTAAAACAAGCTCTAGTGTTATTTTTTTCTTTTTTCTTTTTTTGGTTTTCCAGACAGGATTTCTCTGCATAATAGCCCTATCTGTCCTGGAATTAGCTCTGTAGACCAGGTTGGCCTGAAACTCACAGAAATCCCTCCTCCTTTACCTCCCGAGTGCTGGGATTAAGGCATGAGCCCCCACTGTCTAGTGCTGTAGTGTTCTTACAGATTGTTTTAAAATAGAGACCAAGGAAAATATTTGGTTCAAAATTTTAATAAGAGTTAACAGAAATGTCAGCCTTTGTCTTAAAGTTGTTGAGATGGAGAAATTGCAATTTTCTTCAGAATTTATTTTTATTTTGAATTACACAAATATGTGTCTGTCTTTAGGGGGACTGTGCATGTGGGGACATTCCTGCCCAGGCCAGGGGAAGGCAGCTCTCCCCAGAGCTGGAATTAACAGGCAGTAGTGAGGTGCCTGATGTGAGTGCTGGGAGCCAAACTTGGGTTCTTTTCAAGAGGAGTGAGAGTTCTTAGCCATTGAAGTGTCTCTCTCTCCTGAAACTGTAATTTTGATAGCAATAACTTTAAGTGCAGTGTTTTGCACACTGCAGCTTGGTGAGCTGTGGAATGAATATGGTTGATTATGATTAGCACTGAAATAAAATGAAATGGAATGAGATATATGCATAACAAATTATCACATGTAGTGAGGATAAATAGTGATGTAAGTAAAGCTATCTATCTGTCATCTATCTATGTATCATCTATTTAATGATCCGAATGTATATGAAACCTGCTTCAACTGTATGCGTTCCTGTAGAGATTCATGATTTCTATTCAGAAAGGTAGGATTTAAAGAGGCAGCAGATGAGTAAGAGCCAGAGAAATTGGAGTAACTTCAGTTATGAATCCAGATGGAATAATTTCTCTTTGGACTTCCTAAGTTTTATGGAACTTAAGGAAGACAATTAACCTCTATGGCTGTGATGCCTGTTTAACTAACATTTACTATTTGCTGGACTTTGCTTAAAACATCAAATGTAGTGAGTCACTTATCCTCAAAATAACACCACTGGTGGGCATCACTATCATTCCTGTTTTATAGATAATACAATCTGGAGACTTAAGAGATTAAGTCACTTGTCCAAAGTCACACTCCTGGGAATCAAATCTAGGGAGTTCAGTGTCAGGTTCTGGCACCTCAGTAATGTCTACCAGTGCCTTATTGATGTATGGATTGTAGAAGATTGCCGAAGAACACAGTTTCAACTCTTCAAGATGAGGCATGATAACAAATGGCTAACTTTTAAATAAAAACACCAGTGTACTTACAAGATTCATTTAAAATGAATCTATTTTTTTCTTCTGAGTATACCTGTGAGTTGGCTTCAAAGTTTATCTGCTACTTTAAGAGTTGAATTTTCTTTTAGGGAATAGAAGTACTGGTTGGCTAAT